CCCATCCCAGCCAGCCTGCCACCACGACGATCTCACGGCTCCCTGGGCATTGTTAGCGATGAAGTCGTACGACAAGCCCGGTCTTTAGACTCTACGAGTAGTCTGTCTCTCTCTCTCTCTCTCTCTCTATTTGGCTTGAGGGTTGAAGGAACTCATTTAGCAATCTCGACTGGCCGCGGTAGCCACCTTCCCAGCAAGTGTGAACCAATGTTGACTGCAACTCCTCTCAACCACACCTGTCAAGCTTTGCTGCGGAATCAGTCGACGGAGCGCAAACTGCAAAACCTCTGCAGGTGCGCCATGTTCCACTTGCCCATACAACCTTGAGCTCGTGAGCCCTAAACCCAATCTCCCAAATCATGTACAACCAAACTGAGTGTCCGTGGTTTTCGGGTGAAGGGCCAAGTCTAGATCCCAGACAAGTCTACTTGACAGGAACCCCAAACCTTGAGGACCAATTGTGCCCAGGCGCTCGCTGCCCGAGTTGAAACGAATCGATGGATGCTCTTAAACTGCTGGGCTTTGGGCTCAGGACAGGTCTTGCAGGCTTAGCTTGGGGCTTCCGCAAGGGGGATCCTAAACCAAAACCTATCTCCTGCTCAGGTCTGTGCTGTTTGGGGGGTCAGGAGAGCTTTGGCTGGAGCTGGCTCACGCTTGGATTGATGTAATCATGAACTCCGATGTAACGAAATCCGATGTCTACCACAAGAAGGCCAACTCAACAACTAAAGCAACGGCTTAAGCTTAGGTCTGACATGGGAGAAGGTGCGATGCAAGAAGGACTCACACAAGTGTTCTGCCTCCATCTTGCTTCTGCGCTTTGGGCCAAAGAGGCTTGCGCAACATACTTGCGAGGCATGAACGTCGCATCGCCCCTACGAACCACTTGCTTCAGCCCTTTGGGATTTCGTCTCGGGTGCAGGCATTTGAAGCATTTCAATACCTTGCAAATCCCAGCTAGCTGCTGCAGGCATGCTCGCAAGCTTCCCGCAGCAAAATCGACATGTGTTCCTAACAAATATTGCAGCACGGGCATCCAGGATCAGCAGTAGTTTTCTTGACGGCACCACAACTGATGATTTTCTCGTCGGCGCTCGACATCGGCTTGAGTGGTGAAGCCCTCTACGTTGCAGAGGGGCTTCGCGGACAGACACTCGGCCAAACTACTCAGGAAAGCCGCGTGCGGGTGAACCGGCGCAACCGAAGTCCGAAGGACTGAGGGAAGCTCCACACACGCCATTGGCGAAAATGGCCCCACAGCTCTATCAGGGGCAGCTCTGAATTGTCTTGCAGATCATGGGTGGGCTGAGGATGCCCTAGCATTGGCCCTTGCATGTCTGCTGGAAAAACGGAGAGATCTTCAACGCCCCAACAAGAGGATGACGGGCCTCTCATCTCAGGGATTTGCAATGATATCCCTGTGCCCGAGGAGCTTCTCTGAGCACAGTTTTCCTAGTTCCGGCGGGCTGCCATCCTCCTTTAAGTGTTTATCGGGGCCAACTACGCTTGATGAACAGAAGCCAAGTAAAGGGAAATCAGTGACATCCCAAAGAAGCCAACGCACCTCAGCTGCGACGCGTCTCCATCAGAACAGCTACAGGATGTTAAGAAAATGTCATGACAAATTCTCAGCTACTGCAAAACCTTTGAAGGGGTCTGGTTTTCAATCTCGCGCCTCTCTACAGATATATAGCTTACGGCAACTTAACTAGGCAGGATGGATGTGAACTGCCTATGTATGCATGCAGTCGATGACAAGACTACGGTATGCACCGTAACAAAATGGCAACGCACGGCATGCCATGCTATAGAGGTTACACCGCTACATGTCATTCTACACATAATATCATAATCTTAGATATGTTGAGTGTAAAGGACCGAGCGCACAGCCTCGACCCACTCACAATCGCTCAGCAACCCCATCAAGATCCAACATCGGCCGAGCCAACATCCTCATCATCTTCGGATCTATATAGCTCGCAATGAGGAGATGCATGCCGAAGCTTGGCTTTGTTGCAGCCTGGACACGCAACTTTTCGGCGGTCCAACTGCAAACAGCCCGCCGAACGCAATGCGAGCTTGGCGAGCGTCTTGTTCCTCGAAATCGAGTCAAACAGGCTGAGGGAAAAGAATAACCTTTACAATGAAGGTCGCATTTTCACAGCAACGTTGTTGGTATGGCAGAAATCAGCAAAACTCAACACAAGTAAGAACGAAATGAACATCAGTACCTGTACCGTCATGGTGATGATGATCATCATTATCCTCCTCTGAGATTTCGGAAATTCCGGTGCCCCTCCTCCGAAGACTTATGCAGCTGCCGAACTCCGAACCCTGGAGCTGCCTTCGCGGATATCACGGCAATTGGGTGGAGCTCTTGACTGCTACGGGTTTGGTGTCTCCGTTACTGTATTCGGTTTATCTATCTATCTACCTCCTACTCGGAAGCACGCTCTGGTCCTTGCGTACCTCTTGCAGGCTGCTCCGTCATCACAAGCCCACGCATTTCAGGAGCTCGGATACAGGTGCTGAAAATTATCCGAGAAGTAACGGGGACCGTGAAAGCCTCCTCGACGCCCCCTAGAATCCCTGGAACTGCAGCCTGACGAATCCAAAGCCTAAGACCAAACGACTAACCCTAAAGCCCTAAGCCTTACTGTAAGCCTTGCAAACTGAGGGGTCAGGTTGGCCAAGGCACTGCAGAGCGCTGAGAACAGAGGAGCTGAAAATGTCCACCTTTGCAGGCTGCAGGGAGGTTGGGTAGTGGACTGGTGGACACCTACATATGTCGTAGACACATGGACATTCCTGTACGTTCGCTGGAGAGAAGGCGCATATGTTATCAGACGCACAAATGTTTAGAGGTATGCAGGCACATATGTATGTATATGTATGTATATGTATGTATATGTATGTATATGTATGTATATGTATGTATGTATGTATGTATGTATGCATGTATGCATATGTATATGCATACACACAACAGCAATGTATTCATGATGTGCACAGACACACATGCCCACTCTCCCGAGCGTTCATTCGTGCATGAATACATGCCTGTCCTTCCATGTATGTGCAAAGACGAAGCATCAGTGCATTTGGCTGAAGCGTTTGGAACTTAGGTGGGAGTCTTGGGATTGCTCGGAAGCAAGTTTGCGTGCTTGCGTCGTCGCTTCAGCAGGGGGTCAAGTTTCTTCGATCAAGCCAATGGCCGCGGTGCGGGTCACGTGACAGCGGCCTTACAGAAGCGGGCGGCCAAGTACTGCCACTGATTCCAACTCCTAGTACCTCCAGTTTTCGAACGTTGTCAGGTCTAACCGCTCTTCATGCCGATGACCGACTATAGGTACAGTGAGCCTGCAACAGACCACTTGCTCGGCGCATCTCAGCTTCAGCGGATTCGAACCCCGGTCTCCAAAACTGTAGACCACACAAGCCACAGGCTCTCTCGGTATCCTCAGCCCTGATTCACTGATACGAGATGATCGAACTATATTGAGATGTAAAATGTTGAGTCTAGTAAAGCGGTTGTACCTAGAAAGTAGAAACACCCCCATCCTCAGATCGGCCAACCTTGGGCCCTCTGCTTCGCGTCAGAAATCGAAGTGCAGCAGGGAAGGCCGCCTGAAGCATCAAAGTCAAAGGTCATAATTGCTGGCATTATATGGCAGTGCTACTGCTCGTAGCACTATGACTAGAAGCTGCTATCAGCATTCTTCTTTTTCTTCTCCCAAACAGCTGTTGCTCAATTTGCAGGGCCTGTAGCTATGCGGCAGTATGGTCGCTGCTCAGCAGGCAAGCTTGATGGTTGTCAGGAGCGTGGCCCTTACTGTGACCAGAGTTCTTGAATCATGACCCCTACAGATGTAGACTTGTGCTTAGGCTCTCGAGCTGAAGATCCCTAAATCCGGGACACTCAGAGTCGTTTCAGCGTTTCACTACCCTCGGATGCTGCAGATATCTGAAGTAGGTCCTGTCCTTTCTGAACCCCCCTACACCCTAAACCCCAAACCCTTAAACCCTAAACTCTAAACTTAAACCCTTAAACCCTAAACCCTTAAACCCTAAACCCTTAAACCCTAAACCCTAAACCCTTCAACCCTAAACCCTTAAACCCTAAACCCCAAAACCCCAAACCCTACACTTTTCAGGCGCAAAGCCTCGAAGATGTCGAAGTTGCAGTCGGCCGCCAGGGCCATGCCCTCCAGGGTCAGCAGTGCCCTCACCAGGGCGACGTAGTAGTCCTCCGGTGATTTTAGAGGACTTTGGGCATGGGATTAGAGTAGTTTTCGGCTTCGGTGATTTTAGGACTTTAAGGGCATAGGATTAGAGTAGTATCTCCGGGATGGAAGTAAAAGTTTCACCAAGGGCTTAAGACCTGGGCTTTCGAAACGGGGCACTCGGCCCTTAAAGCCCCAGAGCCCTAAAACCCCGGAGGAGAGGTTGAAGTCTCGAGGGTTGGGTGTTCTCGCCCCCTTTTTTCTATTCATTGGCTTCTGAAGAATGCTGCTTAAAGCGGAGTCTGTTTCCCTTAGAGTGGTCTAGAATTCTTCAACAGACACCCGGAGGCGCACGAAACCAAGTCCGGGAGGGCGAACTCGAAGCGCCGGACGAGCGTGAGAATCTCCGAGTAGAGCAGCTGCACAGCACTTTTCCTCTTGGTGATGTCGCTGCCACACTCCACCAGCTGGTCCCATATCTTGGACCTGGGCAAAGGCAAGTAAGTAATGTCGGACACGATCGTTGTTTTTTCTTGGGGGGTCTAGATTTTATAGCCAGCGTACCACTAGTAGGATAAGACTGGCAGCAGCTGTTTGATGCCGCGGGACAAGACCGGCAGCATCTCCTCCCTCGGACACTCACGTGGGAAGAAGCCGATCTCGATCAAGTCATCCAGCACGGCTCCGTGGTCTCGTCTGACCAGATCCTGATCCCGTCCTACGGCCCAAATGAAACCTCAAACCCTCCTCCCCAAGACCACTCGAAACAGATTCCTGCCTCCCAACGCTTTTACGACTGGGGCCCAGCATGGAAGAGCTTTGTAACTAATGTCATCTGTTGCGAGTACCCGGACCCCACGACCTCGATCACCAGATAATTACTTTGATCACGAAGCAGTGAAGACACTCACCGCAAAAATTTCGAAACTCAAAGTCCTCCAATGGCCTCTAGGATTCCAGATACCTGACCCCAAAACACCTTGAGCCGCAGCTCCGAAGCCCTATGCTAGACCCTACCTAAGTTGCAGGAGGAGCCATCACTCCAAGCCCTACCAAGAACCCTGAGCTCTTAAGCCCTACTTGGAGGTTCATGGGTAGTGATAAATGGGCTTATAAGTGGGGCAACTATACTTATAAGCCACATTAGGGGACTTAGAACCCCACTTGTAACTACCCATGAATCATGAACCTCCAAGTACAATCGTAACCATTCAGAAGCCCGCAGTATGCCCAAGGCGCCACTACGCACTTGGCCCAAACCGTCCGGTGGTGTTCAGGCACCAGGCAGACCATTCCAAAGTCGAGAAGGCAAATGTCGTCCTATGGATTCTGATGGAGTAGCTAGTATTAGTACTACTTTTTGGCAATGGCATCAGTATCAATATCAATATTTGCATTAGTATTAGTATCAGTATTGGTATTAGTACCAGGGGGACGAGTTCAAAGCCTCTGAGACTCTGAGCCCCCTTGGAGGTTTGCAAAGGGGGGGGGGGACTTGTAGGGCCTAGGATTGTGAGATTTTCTGGAAGGCCTCAGAGGGCCCTCAGGCTGAGCGCTTTGACTGAGTCGCTTCTTTCTGTCAGACTGAGCGCTTTTGGGGATGGATTTTGAGTCTAGGGCGGGATTAGGGCTTCGGGCTGCATGTCCACGGTGTCCGAAGCTGAAGGCCACGTAGAGGAAAGCATTTCATGCTCGGTGGGCATCAGGGATTTCACAAAGAGCACAATCATGCATGTGCCCGGTCGGACCCTTAGAAACGCGCACAGATTTCGGACATGTTTTCGACTTCGGTGCGTGGAGCCTCCTGTGTCAGGATGATGTTGCCCGGGTGGGGATCCGCATGGACCACACCCACCTGCAGGCGACGGGGAGGTGGGCTTGGGTGCTTCGGGTCTCACGCTCCTGTTGGGCCTTGTATCTTCCGATCTGGCTTGCCAGCCTTAAACCAGCACTACCGTGCAGAACGGCTCTATGGCGGCGAGGATCGGGATTCAAGACATCACTTCGACTGCCACCAGCGCGGACACTTCATGCCTGAGCACTATCTGGTGCTCCCTACCTTGTCACATGACTGCGTCATGATTGCCAGACACAGATTTCAATCAATAACAAGACGACGGCGACTAGGGTTGGACTGTAAGGTTCTCGTAGCAAAACGGCCACCCGGAGGTAGGGGAAGAAGCAACGGTCGTGGTGGCAGGGCAAGTGCAGGATTTGCGATTTGAGGCTTAATCCGGGCTCACGGGCTCAGCCGCTAACAAGTTTATTACGGAAAGCGAAATATCTCATATATTTAGTGTGTGAGTCAGGCAGTGTGGCAAACTAAAGGTAATGCGGCCTAAACGACTGGTTACTTCACTGGTCGGACCGAGTTACATCTTCTGTGAGGTGTCAGGTGTGTGTATTTTCAGGATACAGGGCCTTTGGGTGTCCATAGCTACACGAAAGCCGCAAGTAGAGCTCACCTTTGCGTTGCTGCACTGCACCTTCTCGCACAATCGACCCCGCCCCTGGATTGACTACATCACACAGTCATACACAATCGGTCCTTCAATTCGGTAGACGCACAGAGACATTAGGACAACCACGCACAAACATTAGGACAACCACGCACAAAATGCCGCAGCAAGCACGACGAGCCAACCCAGCAGGACCTATGCTATTACCAACAACTGCCATCACCATCCACACCACTGCTGCCGCCGTCACCCCAATCACAGTGTTATCGCCATCAGTGGCATCATCTGCATCAGCATGAACATCTTCCAACTCAGATCCATGATCATAGTCACCAATCGCAAGTACCTCGCATCTCCCAACTTCACAGGCGCTAGCCTCCAGGATCATCGCTGCCACCGCCTCGACACCGATTGAGATGTGCCGCTGAGTTACCCGCCGAGGGTCCTGTCTAGGCAGCAAAGCACGGGGTAGCCGGTGGCAGGGCTCGTGCTGGTCGTAGACACAGCGGCAGGTAGTAGTAGCAATGGTCGTCGCCGTATTAGCAGTAGCAGTGGCAGAAGCGGGCGTAGCAGAAGCAGTAGCAGTAGCAG